CCTGTAATTAACCCTTGGCCCTTTGGACCAAAAGGAGCTGGGATGCGTTGACCTTTGGAAACCATTGGAAAGTTCAATTAACTTCAAGGGCCTTTTCTGGGAGCGTTAGTTGAGGAAACAAAGAGCACAGAGAAGTGCTGGAACATTGTCATCAAATTGTTCTGAATGTCTCTATTTTTAGAAGGGGGAAGGAGAGAAGGAGCTGAAGACAATACCTCAGAGCCCCAGTGCACGGGATGGCGGCCATAGTCACAGGCCTCTCTTGGCCCCAAGCCTGAGCCAGAGGAGGAAAGGGGGTGGTGGTGATGGTAAGCATCTTTTTTTTTTCTTTAAATTTTTTTTTTTTTTTTTTTTTTTTTTTAAGATATGAAGTTCCATTTTCACCACCCCACCCCCATGGTCAGAAAATGAGACCCACAGATAGAGCTGAAGATAATGGCAGGTTGCCATGGAAATGTGCATTTAGTCTCACTGTTTCCATGGCAACTGAAAGACATACCATTCTGTTCCTCTGAAGGATGCCAAAGGTAAATGAGCACTGATTAAAACAGGGGCACAAACTTGGGCTCTAATCAACCACAAAGACTAGGGCCATAAACTCTTATTGCTCAAGCAGGAAATATTAAGAGCTGTACAAGTGCTGGGAGGGCCAGAGGCAGGAAGCACTGCACACAAACTGTTCCCCACAGGGCAAGGAATCACAGCCTTGGAGTAATGGCCCATATTGCTGTCATGAACAGCTTCATTTCTGTCCACAGCTGGATGCTAAACCCACTGCAAGTCCATTATCTACTGAGCTGTTTCCTGGGCAGGTATCTGGCAGTTGCAGCCTAATCCTGGAAACCACACTGAGCAAACATATTCCTCAGAACCCAGCAAAATCCGAACTGCACCATTAATCCTATACCTAGCCCCTAACCGCATTTGGTTCAAGGATTCACCCTCTTTAAAAAAAAAAAAAAGGCAATAAAAAGATTACCCAAATGGAGGAGTTTGATACAATATAGGTGGCTGCAGGTTCTTCTCACCAATGCGGTCTCCTTGAATCATGGTTCTTTTTCCAGGCAGGCTGACAGTCCTATCAAACACACCATTCGCAATGTTATCCCTTGCTCTGCTGCCAGTCTCTCCGGCAGCTACGGCCCATTCCAGAGGAGCACAGTGAACGCTGGGTGAGCATTTGGGCTGGTGTGCCTGAAAACAGGCAATGAGAATGAAGCATCAAAATGGTGCACGTCCTATCACACCCTCTGCTAATGAACCCAAGTGTTGTGTTTTCTGGCTGAGAGCACGTATGGTTTGGTCCTCAAGAATGTGCTGCAGCAGCTCATCCTGGACCTACAGCCTGCTTGCTCCAAATTCAATAAACTCCTCTGGCCAGTCCCAGCTATGGGTGTGAATGGTGGGGTTTATACCATTCTGTTTTTTACTTCCAGCTGCCAGTGGATGTTCAAAACGCTTGCAAGGCTGAAGACAGTCTTGATACAAAAGCAGTTGCCTTCACAGTATGGGACACAGACAAGAGAAGCCTTCTTTCATGCACTTCTGCCTTCCTGTTATTGCCTCCTCCACCATTCAGTGATTCTTCCCCCAAAGGCTGGATTTAGGCAAGCCCTACAAAGGCAGGAAATCGTACTGCTGTGTGGGAGCAGCAGAAGCCCCAGTGGGTGTCATCCGGGGGTACCAGCTCCTCACCCCAGCTATCTTCCTGACTCACTCAACAGCTCTGTACAGACATAGAATTTCACAAGGGAAAGGACTGAGCTTAAAAAATTTTGCAGATTAAAATCTTGGGGTGAGAGGGGCAGTTGTTCCCCTAACATCCACCCTATGCTGGCCCTTGGTCTTATAGGAGCCACTTACCCACAAATGCCCTTTGTAGCAACTAATACCACACAGAAGTCCACCAAGGTGAGCATGGTATTCCCGTGCATATCCTTAAACCATGAGAAAAGGGGCATGACAAAGAACTGCCATTTCTCTACCACTGCCTGGCTTGAAACTTGGAAGAGGAACCCACAGTTAATAGATGGTAGATAGATAGATTGGTAGATACCCAATTTGAAGAACAGAGCCAGAGTCACAGGCTGAGGATATGCTGGTCATCTACTAACAAGTCCCTGCAGAGCTCCAACAAGCCCTCACCAAAACGAGGATTTCTATTCCATCCTCTTCAACCTGCCTGTCAGTGACACTGATGATTGTGCCCTTTTCCCTTGAAGTTTCATCTTAACATAGGTTTCCATAAATATCTTTCTTGATCATTCATTGTCAGGTGGGTGAACTGAGAGAATCCTCCTTCTTCATGTGGGAGCAGAGAAAGATTTTCCACTGCAGTTTCTCATTTGCAATGAAGTCAAGGCGGCACCTCCAGCTCCGTACTCCTGCTTTTTCTCGGTCATTCAGTACAAGGGCTCCCATCTATTCCCACACTATAGACATCTCACAGACGTGCTTTGGCAGCCCCTCACAGCTCAGGCAGAACAGAATTCCCCATCTAATCCTCTTGGCACCATTGGTTTTGCCCCACAGTCTACTGAGTGCCACCGTTGCCCCCTAAGGCTATTCACTGTATAAACCTTGACAGTTTGGGGTTTTTTTTTTTTCTTCCACAGGAGCCAGGATCTAGCCTTTTCTGCCTACACAGCCAAAATTCACCAAGGTCCCCTTCACCCCTCCTCTGCTAACACAGCTCGCTTTGCTGAATTCCTAGACATGGACAGAAGTTTTCAGTTTTGAATGTACCGACAGGCTTTTTTAAGAGTCAGGAGGACTCTGGAGGTGACAGACAGCCCTTTGCACCCATTCCCTACTGGAAGCTGCAAGCCTAGTAGCTTTGGCCAGCAGATTATAGCCGCTCCCAGGAAGCAGGACTAGGAAGCCAAGAGCAATGTGTCCAGCTCCTAGAGATTTCTCTGATCTAAAGACCACACTGCTGCAATACCAGATGAATTCAGCTCCAGCCTGCCTCCAAAACAGGCAGCTGCAAAGAAACTTTTGTTCTTGCCTAGGTCCTGCAAGGAGCAGATCCAGCCTCACCCCAGACAGAAGTCGAAATATCCATACATGTCCATCACAGCGATTCCCAAGGAGTAAGGGGTCCACCTAGTGCAGTTAGAGCAGTACTGCCAGAACCGCAGGCACAGCAAGCCATACATGCAAGCTTCCCCTGCGAGCACAGCATAGCTGCCGGTGATGCTGGTGGGGACCCAAAGCCTCATCCTCTGAGGCAAATTCTCTGAAAAGGGTGGCACTCCACATGGACAGCACTTGCTTGATTTACTTCATCAGTGTAGAGTGAGTGAAGGCAGGCTGAACAGACACGGCACATTTTCATTTAGTAAGAACAGTAATACTAAATGAAGGCTGCATGCTTACAGTGGCGGAAGGCAGGCTTTAGTTTAGGGGAAAAAAAGCCTTGGTAGCTGCTGGTTTGCTACCTCCCCAGCCCTACTGCTGCACTTTTATTTCCCATAAAAGATCCCAAAAGAGACTTGACCAAGGTCAGACTCTGTGAAACGGATCAAGAATGGAGCTGTACTGGTTCAGAAAGCAGTTCCTCCCACCAACTTTAATTGCTCAGTTATCTCAGCTGAAAGAAATTGAGTTTAATATATTCTACCTACACAAGCTTTTAGGTCTTACACTTTTCAAAGGCAGTTCTGCCTGACATCACATTCAAGCTCTGAGAGCATAAGGGTAGGGCCAAAACATCCTGCAGGGGTTTAGACAAGTCTTTTAATCACATCCTTTTACACCCTTTTACAAAATGGGACAGTGCTACATCCAGCTCCCTCTGAAAGCAACGTAACTAGATAGAACTTGTTGACTGCGGGAAACAGAAATGGAAAAGGCTACATGAAAAGAGCTGCTGCTCCAAATCCCATCCATACTCCCCATGCAACAGTCAGAGCAGATCACATATGAACTCCTGTAACATCTACAGATGAAACTGAAACTAGCTGACCACCAACTCTGAGAACTAGAAATCATCAGGCAAATCAGCACTGTACGTATGCACTGCTGATTAGTTTAGAAAGGCATTTGGGAAGCTTAACAACAAAAATGCCTGTGGCACAGAGTTTTAAAAAGCTCATGGTTTGCCATAAGCAGTTTCCTTGAGAGCAAAGTCATGCAGTGCTCCCACACTCACGTGAAAGACTCAAGTTTTAGACAATTTGGTTGTGATCAGATAAAACAAAAATAGCTTCCCCATCTCTCCTTTCACCCAGAAACAGGTGAACCACTGTGATTTAAAAGGCATCTAGTGGCAGATTAAAAACTATAGAAAACAACTATTTGAAAGGATGGTATTCTGGAAACTTCTGGATTTCTGTTCCACGGAAGTTTCAGAAAAGAAAGGAGCTATTTCATTCTTTCACCAAACCAGGTACAAGTTAGACAGAGATTAAACATTGAAGCAAGTTATGGAAAAGATTCTCAGACAACTAAGTCAAAAGGACTTGAGGACTGTTAAATAGTACTCCAGATCCTCCTCTGCCTGCGTCACCTGAATTTCCCTCCTGCTGGCAAGGGAAGACAGCAGACACACTATGAAACCAGAGAGTTTGCGTGACCTAAAATTCCAAGTCAGGTTTAGGAACAGCCTAAAATAGCACTGGGGGATGAAGGGCTGTGTATTTTATGTTTATACATACACAAGCTTTTTCTTTTTTAAGTAAAGAAATAAACTATTAAGTCTTCCTACCTCAATTTTTTAGCTTCACTTATTCTGAACAAGTAAAAACTTTCATCCCAGGGACTGACAACAAAACCACTGTAGGTTCCTGGGACCGTAAGACGCCTGCTAGGTAAGAGAAGAGTGAAGTATCTGAAAATGCCCACTGTGAGTTGGGGAGAGCCAGCAACACTGGGAGGTGTACAGGAGAGAGACTCTGAGTCCCATTCAGCAGCAATAAGCAGCAGCAGCATGAAAGAACCCAGATTCTACCCACATGGGAATGCACAAGCAACATAAATCGATTACAAAGACTTTTTTTTTTTTTTAGTAAGAACTTTCAATAAACACACACACGTGTACACAGCCATCTCTTGCAGAGACAAGCAGTTAGGTTGCTCCACATTCAGGACAGGGTAGGTGAGTCAGCACCACCTGGCTGGTGGTTCACAAAGACGCTGAAAATGCTCCCGTGTGCATGTTCATGGCTACTTCATGTTTCTGAAGGGAAGGTCAACAAGTCTATCTTGGAGATAGGCTCAATACAGACACATACGCAGCTGGAGTCATATGTAACAGCTATGTTACAGGGTAAGAGATGAGAGGGAATGGCTGGGAAAAGAACAAGCAAAAACCCTCTGAAGACAGAGAGGAAGTGTCTGCAGACACGTGTCCATCCATGGGAAGTCCAGTCAGAATTTGACAGAGAAGGAAGTCCCACATGAGCAACCCTTCTCTGCCTGGGGGTTGCTCACCACCTGGAAGGAGCTGCGAATCAGCTCCTGGCTAAAGTCCACCATGGAACCTTTCACGAAGGCCAGGCTGTCCACATCCACAACGACACGGGCACCACCTTGTTCAAACACCCTGCAGAAAAGCAGCATATTTAACCATTAACTGTGCTGCAGCCCCAACAAAGAAGCACAGCCTGTGCACCTTCCTTATCTCACAGGCTTCTTCCCTTCTGTGCAAGATACTATCATGTCACGCACACCCTTCTTGTAACCTTTGCAAAGAACAGTTGCACCTGACCACCACTACACCCCTTTGCCCTTGCCTGTCATCAGGATTAATAACTGTGTCCAAGGAAAACTTGTACTGGAATCCAGAGCAGCCACCTCCTTCCACCTGCAGCCTGAGAAACTCTGAGCCTTCTGTGATCT